ACACATGTACTAATTGCACTCAGTAGGTTTACATACACACATACATACATACATACGTGGTGTGAGTGTGTGTTTAAAATTACAGAAGATAATATGATTCTAAAAGAAACTTTGGGAGACACGGGAGGAGTTGCAAGGGCAATACAGGGTATTCATATATGACATTCTAAACAAGTATAATTTAAAAATTGCCAATGCTGTGTTCTAGAACCTACATTCTTTTATTCAAATAATTTTTGGCGTCTCTGTACCTGAGCACTGCATTTTAATTGCTTTTGATTCTGTGTCTCTCTTTCCTCAAACCCTCCTAAGGACTCCACCTCCAAAATCATGACCTCGTCTTTATTATTGTTTTACACACACACACACACACACACACACACACACACACACACACACACACACCAATTTGGACATATGGATATATAACAACTGAGTCCATTTAGCTTTGTTTTACATATACATGTCTTGGGAATGGGTGACCTATGTGGGAACTTATTCGTGGAGGAGACTGATGCTTTTCTTGTGCTGGTTAGTTTTATGTAAACTTGACCCCAGCAGGAGTTATATGGAAGGAGGAACTTCGATTGAAAAAAATACCTCCATAAGATCCAGCTGTAAGCCGGGCAGTGGTGGCGCATGCCTTTAATCCCAGCACTCGGGAGGCAGAGGCAGGCGGATCCCTGTGAGTTCGAGGCCTGGCTGGACCGACAGCCTCCAAAACAATACAGAGAAACCCTGTCTCGTAAAAAAACCAAAAAAAAAAAAAGATCCAGCTGTAAGATATTTTTCTTAATTGGTTATTGATTGGGGAGTACCCAGCCAGTTGTGAGTGGTGCCATTCCTGGACTGGTGGTCATGGGCTCTATAAGAACGCAGGTTTAGCAAGCCATGGGGAGCAATGAAGCATTTATCTAATTATTCTTTAATCAATAAAAACTCGGGAGTCAGATAATGGGGTAACAATCTGAATGATTGAAGTAGTGGAGAAGCAACCAGTGACTTCCTCTTTCTCATTCCTCAATCCAAAAGGGTCAAGACCATCATCTCTCCACCCCTCCCTACTACTTCCTTTGTCTGTCTGTTCTCAGTCCTCCAAAACCTTTATGGTTAATTTTGGCCAGGTAGTAGTTTGCTCTGCCTTCTGATTCAAAACAAACTCTATTGTCAGTCTCAGGAGCATCAGAATGTGATCAAAATATCACATAGCAAAGCAATCCCCTAAGCACTGCATCTTCAAGGTCTCTGCATCACCTTCTGCCTCCATAGTCCTTCCCTGTTTGAGTTCCTGCCCTGGGCTTTCTTCAGTGGTAGACTACAGTGTGGAAGTGTAAGCCCAACAAACCCTTTCCTCCCCAACTTGCTTTTTGGTCATGGTGTTTCATCTCTCCAATAGAGACCCCAACTAAGACACTCTCTACAGGAACTGACTACTTGTCACTCTTCGTCTAGGGGTGGGACCATGTAAAATTTCCCCTGTCCACAGTGGCATGCCCACTGTGATTATGCCGATCTTGTTCAGGCAACATTATTGCTGAGAGTTCCTGGGGACAGCTTCCCTGACATGTATAGAACTATCTCACAACGGATGTCTGTGGGGAGCCGCCCCCACATTCTCCGTTACAAGATGGCGCCGACATCCGTTGTCAGTTGGAGTAAACAACCTTGGTGCGCACGTGCCTGCTACTTTTCTATCCCTTACTCTCTGCCTCTCCCGTGGCGTCATATGGGCTGACGAGGAGGAGCCAGTCAGGAGATGACACGTCCGAGGCGGGGACTGCTGAGCTATATAAGGGTTGGGCTTTTCGCTCCCCGGGTCTCCACTCTGTAAGCTTATGCTCTCCCTCTCAAGACGCATTAAAGCTGTTCTGCAGAAGGATCCTAAGTGTGCCACGTCGTTCTTGCTGGCGAGACGGTAGCGCGGGACAGATGTCCTGCTCTTCTGACTCCTGAAGTCTTTCTTCTCCACCTCCCATGATGTTCCCTGAGTTTTAAGTGTAGGATTGCATTGAAGACGTATTGGTTGGATTCTTGTACTCCACAGACAGTTATTTTCTGCATTTTGATCAGTTGTCAATCTCGATAATAGTCCCCATCTATTAAAAAAAAAAGCTTCTTGGGTGAGGGATGAGAGCTGCACTTATCTGTGGTATAACAATACGTATTTAGAGTTCAGCTAGAAATTGTATTTGCTTAGGAGATGGCAGTAGTGGGTTCTCCTTTTGGATCTATGACATCAACAAACATGTGCAGCTGGTTAGATTTGCAGTACCAGGCATGGCTCCTCCCCTACTGAGCAGGCAGTAAGTTCAATTAGATAGCTGTTGGTTGCCTCTAAGACAGAAGTGCCACAACTGCATTCTTGTTGATCCGGTCATTGCTGTGGCTCAGAGCTTTGTAGCTACGTAGATTGTGGATTTATTGCTTATCTCTCTTGGAAGCTTGCACAGCATCTTCTGATACTAAAAAAATGCAGACAGTAAAAGATGTCTGAGTCTACAACGACCAAAAATGGATTCAGTCCCAACACATAGTATCCAACGGTGAGTCCAGTCATGCTTGCCTGTGTTGTACCTGCACTGTCACTGCAGCCTGGGTTCTGAAAAGACAACATGTGCTAAACTGTGAATGTCATCACACCATGCAACACCAACAAACAAACAAACAAACAAGCAAGCAAACAGAAAACCCACCTGAAACACTTTAGCTTAGACTCAAGACTACTGTGTGTTATGAATGACAATGCTTTTATTATATGTATGAAGTTTGTTGTTTCCTTATAGAAACATTATGGTTTCATTATGGAAAACAAAAACTTTTAATGTTGCCCTGCAGTTGCTCCTCTGCATGTATCAAATTAGTACATCTGATTGTGCTGTGTTAGACAAACAAGCGTATCCATCTCATTAGTATGTCAATTTCTTTAATAGTCTATGGATAGCAAATGTTTATGGTTTATTATCAGTAAATACTCACTTTGTATATCTATTTTATATAGCTCTAGTCTTAATAATGAATAAAAATTTTCAGGTCAAAAGGATGAGTGGGAAACATTTAAGAAAGGCTTTTTAAGAGCCCTGTGATTTCCAGTTGTCTCATTTTTTTCTTAGAAACAGAGGCTTTTACTAGTTTTTGGTCGACACAAGGTACTTCACATTACCTGGCAGCGCAGGGGCGCTGTGGGTCACTCGCAGCCCTTTTGGAGGTGGGCCGGGCTCAAGGCAGCTAATCAGGCCTGCTCGGGAGGAGGTGGGAGGTGGGTACCCGAAGGAATGAGGGAGGGCGCCAGGTGTGGGTTTCGCGGCCCTCGGTCCCAGGCCTCAGTTTCCCCGCTGGGCACAGGAGGGTGAGGTCCGAGGGTCTTGGGAAATCAAGCACACACCCATCTATACCTTTGCTCCCCAAGTTTTCTTTCATTGAAACTGCCTGCAATCTCCATGGGTTCACAAACCACAAACTGAAAAGATGAAGAAATGGGAAACTCTTTGGGGACAGCCTCTCCCACAGCCTGCTAGGAAATCCACAGCCTGGCTACCCCATCAAGGACCCCAGTGTTCCCCGTGGGTCAGTCCTCGGGAGGAAGCAAGGCCTGATGGGTAAGGAGGGAGCATAGCTAGCAAAGGCTTGTCCTCCCAGTCCTCAGGAAGCTGAGGCAGGAGGTTGCTTGTAGTGAGTTCCAGGCCAGAGAGGGCTACAAAGTGAGGCCCAATTTCAAGAAACAAAACAACACAGTGAAAACACAGAAGAAGAAACAAAACCCCAAGCCTACACAGGGATGCTGATGTGGGGAGCCAGCACCGTTGGGTGCTCAGTAGCTTACCTCCTCCTGGCAGTAGGCCAGGTACTCAGGGCCCTCACCATGACCGTCACCCCCGACTGGCACCCCATCAACTGCTGGACCCAGTGGGCAATACTTGGCCACTCTGGTTGGCGCCCTGCATGTATCCCATCTGTAGGGACATGGAAGAGTTGTCACACTTGTCAGTACCCAGCTTGGTATCGTAGATGTGCCTTCGGGTCCCTGAAGCTGTCATGCCCACTTGGCTGGCACACTTGTTGGTACCCATCTGGAGGCTGATGGTACAGTGGTGCATGGGAGGCAGGATGTGGTTCTTAGGGTCATAGAGGTGCCGTCTGGTACTGTAAGCCGTCATGCCAGATTGGCTGGCACATTTGTTGGTGCCCGTCTGCAGCCCAATGACGCACTGGCCAGCCTTCATGGTGGCGTCATCAAAGTTCCTTTCTTGTTTCTCTGAGTATTTGACTCCGATGTCCACGCCGCTCTGCAGCCCCTTGGTTTTGGCCTTTCCCGCCAGCACAAGCAGGGACACCTGCACCTGGGTCATGTTCCCACTCTCAAATAGGTCATTGGCCTCAAACAGGTCCACGGGGTTCATGCCATAGCTGACCATGGCCTTGATGAAGTTGGATTTCTAGCTGATGCCAGTTCTGTATAGAGCGGCTGATCTTGGGGACGGATGCAGCTTGTTCATGAGTGTGCATAGGATGACCCCATCTTTCAGACCCTTCTGGAAGTCCGGGTCGGTGGAGAGGCCTGTGAGTACCTCAGTCTAGCTTCGGAGTTCAGCTTCCTTCTGGGGGTCGTATTTGGACAGGAGCCGGTTCCTGACCTCGGCCGGGAGCCCGTTGGACAGTCCCTTGTTGAACTGCGTGGAGCTCATGGCGGGGACCAAGGGACCCGGCGCGGGACAGGCAGACCGAGGGGCCTCATTTTCTTGTGTGGCATGTCCAGCTACTGATGTATGATGTCTAAGTTTATTACCTAAGAGAGGACTACAACATAGTGCTGTTCTAACTTGGTAACTTCTTTGACAGTTTTTAATTGGATTTCTTTGACTGGTTACTTAGTTGTTAGGTACAAAAGTAGGATAAATACCTAATTCTTTCTTTGCATCTATTTTAAGATCATGAAGATCTTCAGAGACTGAAGTCACTGTAACTCATGGATATATATAGTTTGTTTACCTCTGTCTCTGTCACCAACTGTGCATGCATATGTGGAGGCCAGAGGACACCCTTGGGTGTTTCTTTCTTCCTGCACTTGGTAACCCCAGTCTTCCATTTAATCACTTGGTGATGTGACTGGTAAGTTCTTATAATTTCAATTGTACTTCATTGATTATTCATGAGGTTCAGTACATTTTTATTTGTTTATTGTCGAGTTGGGGGTGTCTGTTGTTGTACCTATTGGTTTTGTTATCTCTCTTTAGTTAGATTGGTTTGTTGTATACTGTGGACACAGGTTCTCTGAATTGTAAATTTCTTTCTTTGCTTTTTATCCTCACTGTGTAATGGTGTCCCTTCACTGAAAAGAAGTTCTTGATTTTTATGCAGGTGAATAATAGCCTTAGCCTTAATGACTAGTGCCTTTTATGTATTTAAGAAACATTTGTCTATCAAGAAGTCATTAACATTAATTACTGTGCTGTTTTGCACATTTAAATCCATATTACATTTAGAGTATTTTGTTTATGTGGTAAAGTAGGGGTCAAATTACTTCCCCCTACCCATTAATATCCAATTTTCTACTTCTTAATCTAAAGAAAATTAGTAAATACTTTCTTGCTTACCTCCTTGGATCCAGGGACAAAAAAGTAATTTAGGTGTTGATCCACTTGTCTGGGTTTCTATTTTGTCCCATTCCTCACTACCTTGGTAGCTGTCTGTGTCTTCAAGGAGACATCTTGTATTTATGTATTTTTCAGATTTTTCTGTTTCTTTCCAGAGACAAAACAGATAAAAGTTCCATAGTCCATCACCATTAAAAGATCAAAGGTTAGTGGTTTACCCTCTTCTCACTTCTCCCTGTTGTTGACAATGATGATGTCTACAGTAAAATGATAACCCTCTGGATCATTCCATTGAGGCAAACATTTCAGACTCTGCACAACATAGTGGACATTCTTTGCCCTTTTATGTGGTTGTTGTGAAAAAATAAGTGTCTGGATCAGATGTCTTTCTTTCCGAGGTTCAGAACAGTGTCATATGTACTGAAGAGAGAGGGGGAGACCATGAAAATGTTCATATTTAATTGGATCATCATAATAACTCATTGAGAGATTTGACTCCATTGTCTCCAAAATTGGGTGACCTAGGAGGAATACTTGCCTCAATGAATAATTTCAAATTGTAGCTTTTTCCCAAGGCCATTTTTCTTTGACTTTTACTCCTTTATCAGTCCTGATGACTGGAGTCTTGACAGCCTGTCACTTTGAACCTTGCCGCTGTTGAGAATCATACGTTTTGTGATGTTCCTTCAAATATCTTGCATGGCAGAATCTTAGCATCTTGGACCTGAACATTTGGAGCCAAATCATCCCCCAGCTTTAGCAACAAAAGATCAAAAACAAACAAACAAAAAAACCCAAAACATACTCCACATTTCACGAACCTACATGACCACCCAGAGACAGGCAAAGCTTAAGAAAGCAATAGTACAGAAGGCTAGCTTGTTCCTGTGGCTCTTCATAGGTAATAACCAGTGGGATCATGAGAAAGCATCAGTAGGGAAAACAAGGGCTCCACAGAGGCCATCCAACTGTAAACCTCTGCATGTGAAATACAAAAGCTGAGTATGAGGATGTGGGGGCCAACTCAGTGTGAGCCTTTAATCTAGGAAAGGGAGGCTTAAAGTCTTCCTATCATCAATGAAAAAAATCAGGAAAGACTATGCCAGTGAAATGTCAAGAGCTACAGAGATAGATGGAGTAGTTAAGGACTAATGGGTCACTGGAGAGGAGAGGTAGGAAAGCTAGGGAGTTAGGACTGTCACCCTGGGAAAAGACATGGGTTGTGAAATCAGAAGCAATGATGCATTAAAGAAGGGTACATGCGTTTTTAAGATACTGAGAAGGTAAGATTGTAGGGTACAAGCTGATCTAAAGTCAAAAGAATATTCTGTATGTCTTTAGTTTTGGTCGAAAGTTGTTTAATTATGAGGAGAGTTCAGAAAGAAAAAAACATAGGTACTCATAGTATGAACCCTGGACACGTACCAAGAGGTGAGTGCCAGTCATATGCAGACAGATGCATAGCGTGCACTATGATCCCTTTGAGGCTTTTCTTCCTTATATGTCACAAAAGCAAGGTCCCTCACAACAACTGAATCCTCCCCACAGTGGACTCATCCATGACTGGCTGGGGGTCCTGCAAAGGTAAGTCTAGATAGAGCATTCTTCCTTGGTTGGCAATTCTCCTGTCTAGGTCTATAGGCCGAGAAGGCCATTGCCCAATGCCTTTAATAAACAATATGTCTTTGTCAGCAGGGGGACTGATGTCACAGTCAGTAACTGACTTTTAGCAGTGAGGGGGAGGGGAGAGACCAGTTTTCTGGGCAGCTGACTGGAAATGCAAGTGTGGCCATGAGAAATACAGGCAGGAAGGAAGAGCAAATGGAGGAGCGGTCTCTTGAATTGTTGATGTGCCCCTGGGACATTCAAGTGTATCATAGGGCTGCCCTGTGGAGGCCATCACCAGCTGGGCAGCAGCTGAAGTCATTTTCTAAGTATGAGAGAAAGAAAGAGGGATCCAACTCACTCTAGGATGTGGGAGAATAGCAATAAAGGCCAAGAGAGACAAAAGGGAAACTTGAAAGTAGTATAATGTCCCAGACCCATATGTGACCACAGGGAAGGTTAGTTCTGTTAGCAGCCCCCAATATGGCAATACTCAAGGATTACTATCTTCCAATACTGAGCTTTTTGTTTGTGTGTATCCTATGAGTTATTGTGCATAGGCTGCTAATAAGACACCGTTTCCCCTCCAGTATCTCTGCAATTATTTCCCTGCTGCAGGAATCCCTAGGAGTTTTGAATGTCTTCAAGAAGTCAGTGCCATTGTTTTAGCTTATAAGCGCCTGTGGGAAGCTTTGCAATGATCTCTAGTCATTCACTCATATGAAGAGCATATGTTGCAATAAAATATTTAAAAATGAAAATTTAAACTCCCTGAAAGGCCAGTCCCTTGTGAGTCCCACCAGGGACCCCCCTGATGTGTCTTAGGCTCAGTCATTTTTGTTTTGTTATGGAACTCTATTTTCCTTGTTTTTAGTTTGTGCTTTCTTCAATGCACATTCAAGGAAGTTGGGCAGCCTTGCTTAGCTTCTGCTGTGTTTCTGGTATCTGCTGTAGTACTTAGAGCACTGTATGTACTTCCAGGCCTTGTAGAGTATACAGGGGAGCTAAAGGCTTTTTCTGTTTTTTTTTTTTCTGGTCTCTCCAACAAGCTCTGCTCTTTCTTGTGTTATAAGAACAAAATGATGGTTACCCACAATTTTCCTATTGAAGTAAAAAAATGGCAAGGGTGGGTGTCTAAATATCCATTAGCAGGGGAGAAGACTTGAAACCAGAGAGTTGTTCATGAGCTCAAACATTTCATCTGTAAATGACACAAGTCCTGGCTGGAGTAGGATATTTATGAGGACTGGTAAGCCTAAAATATACAGCCTGGAGACTTAGGGAAGAGTTGATGTTACAACCCATTTGCCAATTCCTCCTGCTTAGGAGCGGTTTGTCCATTGTGTAACACCCATTCATACTTTGGCTATACTCATAGTTCATCTATTTGAGCATTAATCTCATCTAAAACCCACACAGAAACACAGATTAATGTTTGAACAAATGCTGGAGAAACTAGAAAAACTAACAAAATGAACTATCACATTATCCAATAGTGTGGTACTTAAAGTCATAGATGACACCAGTTTTTGTGGGTACTCTGGTCCTCCCTCTCTCCCTCTGATGCCTCCACAGTTATCACCACTCATCCTGGGTCAGACAGATGACCCCATTCTTTTTGGTTTTTTGAGACAGTGTTTCTCTGTGTAGCTTTGGAGCCTATCCTGGCACTCTCTCTGTAACCCTGGCTGGCCTCAAACTCACAGAAATCCACCTGCCTCTGCCTCCCCAGTGCTGGGATTAAATTGTGCGCCACCAATGCCCGGCCAGATGACCCCATTTTTTTATTTTTATTTTTAAATTTAAATTAGTAACAAGGTTGCTTCACATGTCAATCCCAGGTCCCTCTCCTTTTCCCTCCCCTCCTCCCACACCCTCCCACTAACCCCCCAACACCCCTTCCTTTCCCCAGGGAGAGTGATGCCCTCCATGGGGGTGTCCACAGTCTGTTAAATGACCTCATTTTTTTAAAACAGGAACAGTGTTTAAAACTGGGTGGAGATCCTGGTGAGCCTCACTTGAACTCAGCAGCCCAGGAGACAGTCAGGAGTTACTCTTTTAGCTCTGGAATTCTTACTAAGAGTCTAAGGAGCCTTATCAGCTACCGTTAGCATTTCTTAAGTTACCTTCCTCTTGCTTCAGCAGGAGTGTAACATGTGAAAGTCTGGGGTAAGTTTTTATTATGGGTCCCTACCCATCCTGTGCTAAACCCTAGGGCCTTTTCTGAGGGCCATATGAAATAAGCCACTGCAGTAACAAAGATACAGTCCTTGGTCCATTTGTATTTAAGGAAATGGATGTTCCAAAAAGGATGAGGATTTTCCCAGTGTTCCTTGGCCTGCTTATCCACTGCAGCAAAATTCATACCCAAAGCTTAGCTATGAATGACACCTGCTGTTTTGTCAGTTCAGGAGTTTGTGAGTCAAGAATTCAGGGAGTCTCTGTGCCACAATGAGTTCTAGTGGTTCAAATGACTAGTGGTTGCTGAGACCACTTGTGTAGTAGCTTGGTGCTGGCTATCTTTTGGATACCTTGGATGGTCTTCAAATCATGTTTCCTTGGACAGGATTTTTTTTATTACTGATGTTTTTATAGGTATTCTTTTTTTGGTTTTCTTTTTCCTTCCTTTTTAAAATTTAAGTTAGAAACAAGCTTGCTTCACATGTCAATCCCAGCTCCATCTCCTCCTCCCCTCTTCCCCCCAGGGCCCCAGTCCACCACCCAATCTCCACTCCGATCCTCAGGGAGGGTGAGGCCCTCCATAGGGAATCTCCAGAGTCTGTCATTTCATCCAGAGAAAGGGCATGGGCCCTTCCTCCAAGAGTCCAGGCTGAGAGAGCCTCCCATATTGTGGAATGGGCAGCCAAAGTCCATTTGTATGTCAGGGATAAATACTACCCAAGGTCCCATAGATTACCTAGGCCTGCTCACTGTCACCCACATTCAGGGATCTGGGTCAGTCCCATGCTGTCCACCCAGCCATTAGTCTGGGGTCCAAGAGCTACCAATTGTTCAGGTCAACTGTTTCTGTGGGTTAAACCAGCCCACTCTTAACCCCTATGCACATCATTTCTCCCTTTCTGTCACTGGATTCCAGGAGCTCAGTTTAGTGTTTAGCTGTGGGTGTCTGCCTGTTTCTGTCAGTCTCTGGATGAAGGTTCTGGCAGTGGGATTGTATGCTGGTACTCCCCTGAGTCATGTCTAAAATCCATAAATGAGTGAGTACATACCATGTTTCTCTTTTTGTGACTGGGTTACCTCACTCAGAATGGTTTCTTCTAGTGCCATCCATTTGCCTGCAAATTTCAAGATTCCATTTTTTTCCCACTGAATAGTACTCCATTGTGTAAATGTTCCACATTTTCTCTATCCACTCTTAAGTTGAGGGGCATCTAGGTTGCTTCCAGGTTCTGGCTATTACAAATAATGCTGCTATGAACATAGTGGAACAGACATCCTTGTTGTATGAATGTGCATCTTTTGGGTATATGCCTAAGAGTGGAATTGCTGGGTCTTGTGGTAGACTGATTCCCATTTTCCTGAGGAATCTCCATACTGATTTCCAAAGTGGCTGTATGAGTTGGCACTCCCACCAGCAGTGGAGGAGAGTTCCCCTTTGTCTACATCCTCTCCAGCATAAAATGTCATTGGTGTTTTTGATTTTAGCCATTCTGACAGGAGTAAGATGGTATCTCAGAGTTGTTTTGATTTGCATTTCCCTAAAGGTTGGGGATGTTGAGCACTTTCTTAAGTGTCTCTCCGACGTTTTAGACTTGCTTCTTGAGTTTTTTTTGTAAATTTTGGAGATCAGCCCTCTGTCAGATGTGGGGTTAGTAAATATCTTTTCCCAATCTGTGGGGTGCCCATTTGTCTTGCTGACTGTGTCCTTTGCCTTACAGAAGTTTCTCAGTTTCAGGAGGTTCCATTTATTAATTGTCGATCTTAGTGTGTGTGCTACTGGAGTTATGGTCAGGAAGCAGTTCACTGTACCAATTTGTTCAAGGGTACCTCCCACTTTCTCTTCTGAGAGGTTCAGTGTGTCTGGATTTATGTTGAGGTCTTTGATCCATTTGGACTTAAGTTTTATGCATGGCAATAGACATGAATCTATAGGCAGTCTTCTACATGTCAGCCTCCAGTTATGCCAGCACCATTTGTTGAAGATGCTTTCTTTTTTTCCATTGTATAATTTTAGCTTCCTTGTCAAAAATCAGGTGTTCATATTTTAATGATGGGGTGTTCAATCCGATTCCATTGGTCTACCTGTCTATTTTTGTGCCAGTACCAAGCTGTTTTCAGGACTATAGCTCTGTAATACAGCTTGAAGTCAGGGATGGTGATGCCTCCAGACGTTGCCTTGCTGAACAGTGTTGTTTTGGCTATCTTGGGTCTTTTGTTTTTCCATATAAAGTTGAGAATTTTTCTTTCAAGGTCTGTGAAGAATTGTTCTAGGATTTTAATAGGAATTGTCTTAAAACTGTATATTGTTTTTGGTAAGATTGCCAATTTTACTATGTTGATCCTACCTATTCTTAGACAGAATTTCTAAGTTCAGTTTTTGCACCTGTACTTGGTTGGACCTGACCTCCTCTTTCCTATTGCTTGTGCTTCTCTGACTGTATGGTGATGGGGAAATGTTCTTTGTGTATATGTTTCTCTTATTGGTTAATGAATAAAACATTGATTGGCCAGTCAGGAAGTGACGTAGCTGGCCAGAATCAGGATATAAGCAGGGACAAACAGGAAATTGCTCTTTTCTCTGTGGAGATGCTTAGCAGTCGCCATGTAGCAGAGGAAGGAGTTAGAGGTCCGGATGCTTCTCCAGTCAGATAAGACCACATGGAAATACTTAGATTAATAAAAATGGGTTAATAATTAAGAAAGAGCCAGCCAATAAGAAACCCTAGTCATAGGCCAACATAATATAAATCTGAGTGTTCATTTGGAACAAAGCAACTTCTGGGCCAGGCTGGTGGGAAAGAATGCATGCAACACTATTGAAGTCCAGGGTAATAGGACTTCTTCATGGAGCTGGCCTCCCCTGGGTTAGAGATGACCAAAATCGACAAGACCTCTATGATTTGTCTTCCCGCATCATCATGGCACAATCTGTTTGTCAAGCAAATCATTTAAGCCAGCCTACTTTTAGAGGGAGAGAATTGGTTCCGTTTCTACAAAAGAGAGATAGCAAAAGCTCTCAACTGTCTTTAATATGTAGGAATCAAAACTGTTCCATGGGGCTCAGCCTTTCGCTTACCTTCAAAAGTCTTGCCTTTCCTCTCTGTTACTTTGTCTCTGCCGGCACCTGTATTTGGTGGCCACAGGGTCCCTCATTATGAGTGGGACCCTGGATCACAATGTAAGCAGATAGCCAGCTGTAAGAGGGCCATGGCTTGGCAGCCTGTGACATGTCAGGGCGGGGCAATGAGAAGGGCCAGCACCAATCTCCCTCTTGGGGAAAAGGGACACCAATGCCATCCCTCACAGTGCAGGTGGCCTAGGGCTTGAGATAACAACACTGTTTCAGCAATGAAGGGGAAATGCCAGTGACCAGCACTAATGAGGGACAGCAACGGGGGAGGGAGGGAGTTCATTACCACAGAACGGAGGAACAAAGCGGATGGGCAAGAAGTGGGGAGGCCCAGCCTTCCACTGTATCCTCCTCCCAGAAGGAAGCCGACCTACTGCCCTCCAAACACGGAAAGCAAGAACCTCATTCTCGGGAGCCTTTTCTTTGCCAGTCAGACTAGCAGAAGTCAGCGAAGCCTCGGGGGAATTGAGCAGGCCTACAGCAAGGATTGTATAGAAAGAGTGAACTTGGGAACACTGCCTTCTCTCTGGGAGCAGTATTGTGGCACTGAGAAAAATGGAGACCAAATTTGTGGTAATCTGTCTCAAAACCCTCCTCCTCACCTACTCCTTTTTCTTTTGGATCACGGGAATGATCCTGTTGGTTATTGGAGTCTGGGGAAAACTTAATCTGGGCATCTATTTATCTCTTATTGCCCGGCACTACACAGATATTCCCTCTCTGCTTATTGGAACAGGCGCCATGATTGTCAGTTTTGGTCTATTTGGATGCGTTGCTGCATGCCGAGGTAACCCGTGCATGTTGAAGCTGTATTCTCTGTTTCTGTCGCTGGTGTTCCTGGCTGAGCTTCTTGTTAGCGTTTCAGGACTTCTGTTTCACAGTGGGATCAAGGCCAGCTTCCTGCAGATTTACACCAATGCGGTGCAGAATTATAATGGCAATGATGAACAGAGCCAGGCAGTGGACCAGGTGCAGTATAGCCTGGTATGCTGTGGTGTGAAGAACTACAGCAACTGGGAAACCAGCCCCTACTTCCTGGATCATGGGATCCCCCGAAGCTGCTGTAAGGAGGAAAGCGATTGCGACTCCCAGGATCTACACAACTTGACTGTAGCTGCCACCAAGGTTAAGCAGAGGGGCTGCTATGATCTGATGATGAATTTCTTGGAGGCAAACATGGTGACCATCATTGAAGTGCTCTTTGTGGTCACATTCTCTCAGTTGATTGGCACCAGACTGTCCTGTTGTCTGTCCCAGTATATCGTGGCCCATCAACATGAGATGGTATGAAATGTTTTTTAAGGGCAATACAGAGAAGAAGCCCATTTCAAAGAACTGCTCCATCCTCTTGCAAAGAACTTGCAAAGAACTTTAGCACACAGAAATTCTCTACCATGCTCTTGCTGCCCTCCTCCTCAGGTCCTCCAGCACATAAGTTGCTGACACTCCTACCTGATCTCTGCTCCAACTTTTGGAGCACCTGAAGTGTGCTGTTTTCCTCTTGTGAAGCCCTGTTATGTTACACAGTGTATCTGCCTGCAGCTAGTCATAGTGAACCCCACCATATGGCCCTATGTGTGCAAGCTCTTCCTCATATAGTGGGTCCAGATGAAGCTTATTGTGGGATACTGCTTATTACATCATTACTGCCCTCCTGTGGCCTGAATTCAGTATGGGAGGCTGTCAGTCCTCCATTGTCATTCATAAATGTCACGCACCTTTATAGAGATAACCAGATGGCAGCCATCAGCTCTTGGGGTTTAATCTTGTTTGCTCTGATTTTCGTTTTACTGGGGATTTCCTTACCTTCTCTAGGGTGCCTCGGAGATGTGAAGAAATACAACCGTATTCACGAGGAGATGATATCATGTGTCATGGAGGAAACTGTTGAGGGTGCAAGTTCCACACCTGGGTATGTAGAGACAGCTTAGTGCTTGTTGGCCGTTCAGTAGAAACCTGCACAACTCATTCCAAGGCTGTGTTGTTTCTTCTCTTGAAGTTATGATGCCAACACTGGTTTTCCCCACCAACTAATTGCTGCTGTTATTTTCTTTTCCATTCTCTGTATTTTTTTTGATTGACATTATAAGCTGTGAGGGCCTCTGATCAACTTAAAAATGGGTGTGAAGGGGGAACAGAAGTCAAAGGTTTTGAAAAGATCTTTAAAGACAACGCCCCTGGAGCTTCAGGGTTGACTCAGTTGGAAATGTTAGCTATGGAAACATCAGGACCTTGCCTGGAGCTTCAGAACCTAAGTAAAAGCTGGACAGAATGTTCTTCACTTATTCTTCCAGTGCTAGGGAGGTAGACACAGACAGATCTCTCATGCTTCCTAGCCGTCCCACACAGCCTAGTTTGCAAACCACAGGTCAATGAGAAACCTAGCCTCAGCAAATGAGAGGGATGGCATCTAGAGAATAGCAGCCTAGCTTGCCCTCTGGCCTATACACCCCCATATGTGTGCATCCCCATGTACACAGAAACTCCCTCAGAATAGCCTTCTCTGTCTAGCATGCCGACACAATACATTGATGTTGTAAGCATTTGTGATGTGTGCATTAAGAAATAGAGCAATTATGAGTAGTCAAAACGAAGAAACAAACACCAGAGGTGACTTGAGAGCTACTGTGTAGACTCTGTGCCCTTCTACTTCTCTGTCTCATTCGCTATCACTGGAAGTTACAGTCACTGCAAGTTACTGGAGATTTGAGAATTATGTTTTAGGATATTGACAAAGGCTCTCAGTTAATGACCCTTCTTTGGGCTGCTCTTTGTGATCTGTTAGATCCTCCAACAGGGCACTTAAAGGAATGCTTCTTTTCCAGCAGTAGGTTTTCATGCAGTTAGTTGCTTTGTATTTGGAATGTGGCCTTTGCTTCCCATGTCGAATTTTCTCTGAACATTATGATAGCCTAGAGGGGGGAGAATGGAGTTAACTGAGCCTTGCCCTTTGTTTACTGCCTCTAATCAGCCAATCATTCTTAATAAGAGACGCACATGAGTCATTGTGCCAAAGTCTGGGCATGAGTCACGGTCACTCCAGTACTTACAATGGTGCCACATTCTTGTCTAGAGATGGGGTGGAGGGGAACGTGATAATTCCCAGTAATAGCCAAGATCATGAAAACTCAGTGAGACTCTGGGAAGACATCTTCTAAACAAACTACAACAAAAGATAGTTTCATTTTCCTGTCTCTTTTGAGCAACATGTACTCTAGTACAATGTATTGAAGCCATGTTGTAAACCACGAGAAAGGAAAAACAAACAAACAAACATACAAACAAAACCCCACAACCATACTAAACCAAATCAAACACCCCAGGTACTAGGATTTACAAGTCAGAACTGCTGCAGCTTGTCTTCTGTGCTTTACGTCATTCTCTGATTTTATATTTGATTGGGTTGCAGTCACCCAGTACCTGAAGCCTGATCTGCATTTCCAATGAGAATGTGGCTTGGAACCTCTTGAATTTCTCTTGGAGATATCAGATACCCAAATCCTCAGCTCAGAACTCCATTTCTGGTTTATTTGAAACACGGAGGAGGGGTGCAGAGAGAGATGGATAGATGGATGGAGACAGAGAGACAGAGAGACAGAGACAGAGACAGAGAGACATGCAGGAACTGTAATATAGAGGTGATACTAGAGAAGAGTCAGATTTCTAGTGTTTTCTTTTCAACTCTATGCGCAGAACCTAGACTTGTAAATCTGACATAGCCATCAAAGTACCTGCGTTAAGCCAAACCCTCCTTGAAGAGGCATCTACTATATCATAGTTTCCCCCCATGAACTAACTATATTTGGACTATGGGATTCTATAGCTTTAGTGGTGTACAGAAGGGACAGATTATGATAATGTCATATCTTATATTATAATGATACTCTTTTACTCTGTTGGAAAAGCGATGTGCAGGTTATTGCCAGGTTAGCATGGACACAGTATCAATGGTCTAATTGTTCTGAGAGGATGTCCCTTCACAGTCCAGATACCCCTGGAGTGACAGTGCATAGATGGCACCAGCAGAAATAAACCTGCATTTGAATTTCATGGTACTCCCAAAGCCAGACAGCCACGGAATGAGAAAAGAGAGAGGAGGGTGAAACAAGAGAATCATAGATGCCATGTGTCTCCCAAGCATGGCTGGCCACTTAACCAGAGGGGCAAGACTGAGCTTTGGACTGACTGACTCTTTGTCCCCACCCCTTCCTCCACAGACAAGAGTTTTAGGGCATTAATCCACTGTCTCAGAAATTTGAAATATCTGATTTGTGTCCATGCTCATGGATGTTTCAAAGAGACAGGCAGCAATGAAACTCCAGTATTGGGTGATAATTTTATGCTGGAAAACCTGGAAGTTTTGAGTGGTCAGCTTTAAAAGTACTGTTATACTATCCTCCCCATTTCCTAACTATGGTGTCCTTAGATTTATATTCCCCTAACTGTGAATGTGGGTCACCATCTTTTATAGTGCGTACCAGGTTCAGTAGAGGGCCCTGGAAATGCCTGAAACTGCAGGGTCATCTCTTTCTGGGTCTATCATCACATTCATACTAGTTTTTTTTTGCTCCTGCATTATTAGAATTGTGAATGTGTGCTTGTGCATGTGCGCGTGTGTGTGCGTGCGTGCGCGCGTGTGCATGTGCGTGTGCGTGTGTGTGTGTGTGTGTGTGTGTGTGTATTTGGTGATTGGTGCCCCAGCCCTGTGTCCAAAGGGCCAGATACTATTGCAACTTGTCAGCCTTTCTTCCCAGACATGCCCACTTCCTATCAGGTGTCCTGGGGATCAAGATTCTCTAGACCCAATACAGGCTAAAAGGTTTATTCGGAGAGATAACAAAAAGATGCCCAGGTTCCAGCTCCAAGAATCCTCTCAGGTTGTTTCGTGACCTGGTCAGTTGCTAGAAAGAGAAAGCACCACCCCAGCACCAGCCTAAATCCTCCCCTCCTGTACGCACCTGTGACCACGCCCAAACGGGCGTGGTCAGCGCCAAAGGTGCCTCGTTAGATCTCTTGCTACAATCAGGCTTTGGGTAGCCTGCCCGTGAGGGTCCCAGACACTCTGACTCTTGTGTGCCCACCTGTTAACCTGCCTGCACCCTACAGCGATGCTCGTGTTTACGCAGTCTTTGTAGCTCAGCTCCAGCTTGGGCACCTGGATGAGTTTCTCAGCCATCCCGGCAGCTTCCACCACATTCTGAGTTTGGGCTTCAGCCCTTCTTTGGTTCCCCGTTGCACATTTGCAGTTGCCCATGTCATTGCCTCATAGTTCTTTCAAAAAGTCTTTTCCTCCTGTGCTGAAGTCACCCACCCTTTCACCATCTTCTGGCCTGTCCTGAAATTTCTGTCTCCTGATTGGAGTGATGGGTCGAGTTTCAGGGCTAAGTGGAATTAAGATTTGATAACTGTGTTGGTCATTTTTCTCATTTCTGTCACCAAATGGCAGATCAAAAGCAACCGAACGGAGAAAAGCTTTGCTTCAGCTTACAGTTTGAGGGATTCTGGTCCATCCATCATGGTGGGGAAGCCATGGCAGCAGGAGCATGGGACTACTGCACACACGCACCCACAGTCACGGGACTATGGCACACACGCACCCACAGTCAGGCAGCCCGGTGTGATGATTGTTTATGCTTGGCCCACTTGCTGCTTTTTATTGAGTTTTCAACCCCAGATCATGGGGTTATGATGAGCATTCCTCCTCAGCTAATACACTTAAGAAGCCCCATCATAGAAATGCCAGAGATTTGTCTCCTAGGTAATTCCAGATCTGGCCAGGTTGACAATATTAACCGTCACAGGTGATGAAACTGCCAGCATGATTAGTCATGTGACGGGGAAGTGAAGTCCCTCTAGAGTAGGCAGAGGACATCCACGAGCATGGGGCTGAGGTGGAGGAAGAGACAAGAGGAATGGCTGAAGGCATTACAGGCTGCTGCTTTGCCCAAGAGCCAATAAAGGGACTTCACAGGGTGCCACATATGGAGATCCCCATAATTCTCTTGGTCTTTCTATTCTGCTTCAAATCACAAATCTAAGGAGAACTACCAGAGAAAATGTGCCAGTAACACCCGGCTCTTAGGGACCACTAGTGCTATCCCAACACACAGGGCCAGGCGTGTCTAAGGCACCTGTGATTAGTGCTGATAGTGACTTGCCATTCCCCACAAAGTCTCCAAGTTCTTCCCTGTGAATGTCCTGCTTGGCCACTTTTATGACAGAGTGAAGACATGGTGAAGCCAGTGGCCTACAAGCTTCGGTGAAAGGATTGAGAAGAAACCAGCTTTACTGATGCCTCTGATACCTCGAACAACTGGATTTTGTACCTTGGCACCCCCAGAACTGTGAGACAGTAAAGTTTTGTGAACAAACCATCCAACCTGTGCTTCATTTCGGCAAACATAGATGGTGAATGCTGATTCGCCTCTAAATAAAATACCTGTGCTTGAATTGTTTTCTCCTGGCCTGCTAAAGTACAAATCAAACCAAGAAGACAGAGTTTCCATTTGTCCTCTTAACTTGTTGGAAGGGAAGGCTTTGCTGTCTTCTTAAACAGCCTAGAAGGATGAATCCCATGAAGGTAACTTGAGTTTGACTTTGTATCAGTAACCTCCCTTCTCCCGGCCGCACCCCTTCCTCCTGCTAGAAAGCCTGCAGGTGACTCTTGGGCTGTCTCATTTAACAATATTTTCTGCCTCCCCTGGCTCTTCAGCTGGAGGGTAACACTTTGGATGACTTAATAAGCAAGCAGGCCTCGGTGCTGCCTCTTAAAGAGTGGGTATGGACCATATCAGGGTCTCAGCTGGTTCCCAGGGATGTTTACGTAATGCCCCATTAAGGAAGGCAGTTGAGTAGAACTCATTTTAAATCCCACCATTTGTTCTTCCATTCCTGAGGGGAGGTCAGAGTCCTTAAGAGGGGGAGCAGAGTGTATGACAGGGAAGATCTGAAAAAGATGGGGAGAATAACGCTTGAGGAGAAGGAACCTGACCTCCCCAATTGGAAGGGTCTGTGGGTACGTTGATACCCTGTGGCAAGAGCTATAGTAGGCGGGTGAGGCCAGGAGGAACCGAAGCAGAAGGCAGAGGTTGTGGGATGCTGGGGGCCTGCTGAATACCCATGAGAAGCAGGGGAAGGAGCTCTTTGGGGAGCAGGCTTAGAATCCTGGCATGCTGATATCTCTGGCCGAGAAGATTTATCGTGGCTAAGTGGCTTGCGGTGCTTGGAGACAGATGCAGCCCTCCTTCAGCAGTGCAGCCAGATCATCTGTTTTGCTTTCCTCATAAATATGTCTCCCTGAATGTCGAGAGGGAGAGATCTGGAAATAAAACAAAAAGGCATTTTCTATGGGGCATGAGAACCCTTAATTCATCACCAGCTTTTTCCACCAAATGAAAACGATCTGCATTTTGTCTTCAAAGACTGTTGAACAAATGTTTCAAAACTGCAGTAGATTATTGCAATTAGTGTGCCCACTTTTTAAAACCTTACCCAGAGATAGACAGGAGTCCTGGAAATGTTTTCAGACATTTGTCTCGGCGAGGGGGGAAGGAAGATGAAGTTGCCTGGGAAGTGTTTCCTATGCAGCTGGTCTCATAAAGGTGTGGACTGTTCTCCAGCTGACTTAGTTGCCACGCTTGGGAGCTGGGCCTGGGGCAAGCTTCCTGGTGGGCTCTGAGAGGCTGCTGAGAAATGCACACAGTCACAGAACCATCAGTGTGATGGCGATGCTGTCGTCTTCTTCATGAAGCAAAACCTGTATTCTGTCAGGCTGAAGGGGGTACATGCATCCCCGACTTCACAAAGAGAAACACTTGGCTGGATACTACTGGGTATGGGGAGGGGAGAGAAGGGATGAGGAAGATAGGGAAGACAAAAATTGAGGGAGAGAGCAAGTGAGTGAAAGACAGACAGACACAGAAACAGAGTCAGAGAGACAGAGACACTTGTGAATTCCATAGCTCTTGATAAACATTACAATCCCTTCCTTTCTTTAAAAATCCAAGTCAAACTTGTGGCTTAAATGTTTGGTCTAAATGTGTTTTGGGCTATTTCCTCATCTCTCTGACTTTTGTTTCAAATGAAAGGTCTTATGATGTGCAATCATGTACAAATCCTTTGCCCAATATGCTGGAGCAGATGCTGTGATCTGTGGTCTGAATTTCTCCTCAAGGTCAAGGTGCTCATGGCCCGGGGTCCAGGGATGCTGCCCTCCGATCATTTCAGAATGTTACTCTGTCCTTGGGATTTTTGTGTCATTGAGCCTTAAGGGACTATCTCACCCTCCGCAGGCTTTACGTTCTCCCCAGTGGCAGTCTGCACACAGAGACTGTTGGATAGAGAGGTGCGAGAGCCTGGCAACCATGTCTTTAGGACAGTAGTTCCTAGGCTTCCTAAGGCTGTGACTCTTTAACACAGTCCCTCAGCCTGTTGTGACCCCAACCATAAAATTATTTTGTTGCTACTTCATAACTGTAATTTTGCTGCTGTTATGAATCATAATGTAAATACCTGATATGCAACCCCAAAGAGGTGGCCACCTACAGGCTGAGAACCACTGTTCTAGGCCATGCCATTCAGGACAGCCCAGCCTCTCAGATCCCTGTGAGGCGTCTTGAGAATTCTTACAACTCTTTTGTGACCTCTCAAAGCCTCTTTATTCTCTATGTCAAAGTCGTTTGTCTCGCCAAACTTGACCAATAGCCACTGATGCCAGCAGTGGGCTGCCAAAGCAGATTCTGAAACAGTAATTAAAAGGGGGAGGCCCACCAGTCAGCTGGCAGTCAAGCCCCCGCCTCATGGCAGATGGAGTTCTGATTGCCCCAGGCATGGACAAAAGCACCATTAAAAATGTTACAGATGGGAGCTGGACTAGCATTTCAGAGGAAGGGAATGCTTGGTGGACATAGTCTTCAAGGCACTTAAAAGTTTGGTAGAGTTTTAAAAATTACCCAGCTGTTGATGGTGATCCCAATACATTGAGAAGAAGACAATGAATGGTTGATGGTGATTAAACTCCAACTTAAAGCTGAGAGTAAAAACAACAGGGTGTCTCTGGCAGTTTGGAAGGGGAATTATCTGCTGCAGCCAAAAGGCAGAAAAATCCCAGGATTGCATTATGGCTTTAATTGTGACAGTAGGAGAGCACAGGATGCCCTGAACAGTTTTCAGGTTTGAGACCAGAACTCAAGAGATTCTGGGAGGAGTTGGGTTTCCAGGAAGAAACTCATTGTATATGGGGCTGATTATTTCCATAGTCCTCCACAGAAGGGCCCGTGACTGGTACACTCAAGATGAAGCATGCAGAGAAGGGAAACACCTGTCTCTTCACCTACGTGGCTAGGTTTTGTGTTGCAGTCTGAAAGACCTGAGACTGGGCAATGATGCATATTTTAAAAAAGCTTGGGCCGGGCGGTAGTGGCGCGTGCTTTAATCCCAGCACTCGGGAGGCAGAGGCAGGCAGATCTCTGTGAGTTCAAGGCCAGGCTGGACCGACAGCCTCCAAAACAATACAGAGAAACCCTGTCTCGTAAAACCAAAAAAAAGCTTGCGTAGTTTTTAGTTTTGGAGGCTCAATGTCCACGATTGGGTAGCCTCTTGTGTTCTGTCTCTGATGACAGTTCCCCAGCTGTGTCACACAATGTTGTGAACACAGTCATAGTGAAAGTACATGTGGGAGGGAGAGAGACTCACATAGTGAGAGGAAGCAAGAGACTCAGGAAAAGGACTTCTCTATTTTATAACATGTGACCGACCTGCCTGGGAACGAACTAATTCCTCTGGGAACTTTGGAGAGGGTCTAGGTAAGCTTTGAACAGTGTTCCAAAATCAACTTCCAAATGGCAGGGTTTCTTTCTGGGTAAAAATGCATCCCATGTAACATCTAAGACCAGGAATGTCGCAGCTTGATAGTCTGCAAAAGGGCAATGGTGTTGCTGTCCTGACTCATGCCTGGAGTAGCAGGCATGATGCCAGTACAAAGCAAGAACTCCTGTGGGAGAGAGATGGCAGGTGGGCAGACACCATGAACTGCTCTCGGGGGAGAGATGACACGGAGGAGGTACTATGAGCTGCTCTGGGAATGGACCAGAACTGTTTTGCAGGAAAGGCTTTCTCTCCTATTATCTGTTGCTTCCAAACTTGTTGACTCCAGTTTCCAAAGTCAACACTTCGTTAGTGTGATGGTAACATTCTTTAATGTGTAAAGATTGAATCGCTGAATTCTTATATCTTAAGCAGTCACATAAGTCTAAGAATGCATAGAAGCATCCTCGTGTTATCAGTTCCATACCTATTTCCATCATAGCTGTGGTGGCCATTATTGGTTGTCAACTTGGCTGTATCAGAGTTAACTAAAACTCAAGCGATGTGATAGAAGGAAGCTTTCTCTTTTTTGCCTGCTTGCCTTTTTCCCTCACTGGCCATGCCTTCACTGGGTTTGCAGTCTACTCCTTTGGGATTCAGGCATATACTGAAGAACTGAAGAACAGCCTCATGGACTGAAGAACTTTCCACTGGTAGGTAACCATTGTTGGATGAACTGGACCACAGCTTATAGGTCACGCTAATAAATCCCCCACAGTGTATAACATACATGTATGTGCATACATTTATATAGTGTGTATATACATTGACTCTCATGCATTTAGGATATAGGGAAAGATGGTCACATGTGAGCCTATCCTGCCTCTTCCTTACCTCCAGTTTCTCCAACTCACTGCAATACTTTTTCTTCTCACTCCCTGTTTCTACTTTCTCCAGAGCTCATAGCCTTTCATTTAGAAGCCTTCCTTCCTTAGCTCATGTCTGGCTCCCATACTGGGTCCCTGCCATCTATTGCGTTGTACACTGGCTGATGCAGCAGTCTTTAGTCTTGGAATCAAAGGAACACTATTGGAGATGGTTGCTCTGCTATGAGCTGAGTCATTTGACCTCTTTGAGCCCCAGGTGGAAGATGTGGGCTAAGCAGACTCTTGGAGATGCTCAGAATGAGTGTACATAACTATCCACATCTGCTTCTTCTTGGGGAAGACTCTAGTGCCTGAAGTCATGTGGCTTGGTTTCCCAGAAGCGTTAACACAGTCTCCACGAGGCTGGCCACATGCATGTGTTTACTATGACTTCAGTCCCCTTTTGTGCAGCTAAGAGTGAATGGTACTTTAAATGGACAGCATCTAGTGTTTTGAGAACTACTTTCTCAGTTTTTCTCCCGGCAATGTTGCTATGGCATATTGCTCTAGGGCTGCACTTTCTTCTCTGACTATGCCACCCAGGGCATGAAACTCAGCCGCAGATCACTCGGGTTGAGAGGCAAATCCCTGACTGCACTGTATGAGGGACTCCCGTGCCCTCCTAACTCACGATCAGTCTGCTTTTGTCTCTGGTCCCATGCCTGACTCCTACCTGACAATCCCACACTGTTCAGCTCACCTGAGTTGCACTTGACTGGACACACACCACTCATCTTACCAAACAAAATCCTTGAGGTAACCAACTTGTTTACATCGTAGTTTCAGAGGTCTCTTCCTCCAGTCAGTTGCTCCTGTTGCTTTGGGTCTATCTGGAGACAGCTCATCAATGTAGGCACAGATAGTGAGGTAATACTGTCTGCCCTGAGGCCAGAAAGTAAAGCCAAAAGAAGTAGGGAGTCATGATGGTACAAACCCTTCAAGGGTATATCGATGACTTAAAGGCCTCCCACTAACACCACGCTGGGGACGTTCTAGATCAGGCCAATAGCAAGGACCAGGACTCGTTTACCACTCTGTTCATTCACACATGCTTGGGTTAGAAGCTCATTCCTGTAGTTGACTCACAAAGGGTCTGATGTCTAATTTTAGCCCCTTCTTTCCCTTGTGTACCCCTCTGGGCCTATTCTAGAAGTTTTTTTGGGATTCAGGTATCCCTTTCTACTCTCTTTATCTAAAATTTTGGACTCTGTGACTCTCAGTGTAGCCCAGTGAAACCTAAAGCCACAGTAAGGCTACCATTTCCAGAGGCAAATGTCTACTTGATTTAAACTCTGGCTGGGTTAACATACCACCAACTGGATGCAAACGAAAAAATAAGCTCCAAGAGGCAGTGTTTCACAATGCCTACCCTTTAGATTCATTGGATGCAGCCGGCGTGTGGAGTGAGTCTTCCAGCTTCTGACCTTTCGTTCAGGCAGAAGTCATGGTTAGGTCCCTTGTGACCCTGTCTTCTCCAGTCTTTAATTCTCTACTCACATTTTCTCAGCCCCTCGTTCTCTGCCCTTTCATCATTTTTATTGCTTTGCTCTGGACCATCTCCAGGTCTTGACATCTTTCTTAGAATGTAGAGGCCATAGACTGGGTAAAGAATGCTAACAAGGAAAGAAACAATGTGGAGCCCATTAGGAGGATTGATTTCCAGCCCTTGCATGTGCTGCTAATTCATCCCAGCCTTTAAAGGCACAGCCAGGAGACTTCCTGGCACTGAGAGCATGGTCTTTGGTGACCCAGGGTGATTTCACCACTATGTTGCTTATGAGTCCATCACTCCTCAGTTTGGACCTCCTTGGTTTGGTTTTGCTTCTGGCCAGGCTGTCTTGTATTCATCTTGTCTGAGGAGGGCTTTTCTCTTAGCGAAGATACTCCCAGAATTTAGTCTCTTTTAATCTGCAAACTCTCTATTGTTTATATCAGGCTCAGCCATGGTGGTACTGTAGGGAGCTCTGTCTGAGAGCCACTGGAGGGGAGGAGGGACAGACCTGCCTTCTCGGTGCACTGTGTGGGGTATGTTGCTACTATGTGGATGACCCCGTGTTGCTCCAGCAAAAAGCTTCAATGGAAATGTTGCTGGAGGGCCTGATGTTCAATCCAGGCACCAGACCCCAGTGGTCTCCATGACGCAAGAGGCCAGCCAGCAGGGGAGTTGCCACTGAAAGGGGCAAGGGCCACAGTTGGCAATTTTACATTCTACTAGTCAGCAAAAGCAGAAGGTATGCTTCTAAAGTGTGATTTAGGGAGGGTGAGGCACAGGGGAGAGACTACTTTATTCAGTGTGGTACAGAGCTCTCAGCTAAGTGAACCTAAAAGTACAGTCAGAGAATGCAGACAATTGTTGAGGTAAAGGATTACCTGAGTGGTTGTCTATGGGTTGGGGAAACATTGGATTGAAGGCCAGTGTTACTCACTTCAGATTATGTAACATAAACATGGAGCATGAAGGACTGGGAGAAATTCTGGTCTTCACAAATCTCCCTGTTCTTATGCCGGCCTTGGGCCTTACGGCTTTTGTGTGAGCCAGCACAGGAGTCTGTCTGTGAATTTCTCAAAGCTGTTGTGAGACTCAATGATGCTAGTGGATGTTGTACAGCTTTATAATTAATAGAGTCCACTGGAGGCAAAACCCAAATACTGCTACAAATATGGTTTGGTAGCATGTAGGAAAGCCTCTCATATATATATGTGTGTGTGTGTGTGTGTGTGTAGAGGTCTGAGGACTGGGGGTTGAGGTAGATGCAGCAGGTCTGTGAAGGCATCAGCTTCTCAGGTTCCTTCCAGTGTTAGTGCGATTACCTTCATTTTCCTGACCCAAGATAGCTCCTAGGGTCCCCACTGTCATATCTGCATGC